TCCTTCTCCCGGACTTTTTACCAGCTCGGCCGCCTCCGTTTCCCCAACTCGGACCCCTCCGGACTTCCCCGTTCGACAGGCCGCTTTAGGATTTCCTCCTCATACCCGCCTCCCGTTCTCTAGCCCTCTGACCCCCGCCCCCCACCTTCCGCCAGTCCCAACGTCCTGGATCTTGAAGCCCCCGCCCCTCCGCAGTTCGCCCCGACGGCGTTTCCCCTCGTACCCTTGCCCTCATGCTCCCTTCCCGTCTCAGTTATGCCCAGTTCCCCGGGGAAATCCTCGCCTCGGGGACCCAGGGCCCGGCTGGATGCCTTCCTGGGGTTTGAGAGAGGGGACCAGGAGGAGCTCACAGTCCGGAAGAGTCCTCTCTGCCTGGATGGATGACAGTGGCTTCTTGGCGAGCCTCGCTTCGCCACCTGGGTGTGTGCTAAGGTGTATCTGCATTGTGCATCTTCCCCCCAAGAGCCTCTGACCTCCCAAACCTGTTCTCAACTTGTCCCTCATTGTCCCACCCTTTGGGATATTAATCATCAGTATTTCATTTGATGGAATCTCTGTGCGGTGCTTTTGCGTAGAGCTGGGAATTGAAGGAGAAGCTGGTGACCTGGGTGGGGTGCGGTCACCACTCCCAAGTTGGTTCCATATCAGTGCTGTCCTTAGATGTGTTCCAGTGAGACTCGTGAGTATCCCAACGTCCCCTCGCTATAAACTGCAGGTGACACCGGAACCCAGTGGCTTTGCATTAGTATTCGCCCGATTATTAACAAGTGTTGATGTCACTCGTCATCTTTCTGCAGGATCAGTGCACCTCCCGGCCAAGACATGGAGACTATTGTTCGCCGCTGTCCGTTCTTATCCCGAGTGCCACAGGCCTTTCTGCAGAAGGCAGGCAAATCTCTGTTGTTCTATGCCCAGAACTGCCCTAAGATGATGGAAGTTGGGGCCAAGCCAGCCCCTCGGTCCCTGTCTACTTCAGCAGTGTGCTGCCAGCAGATCAAAGAAACCCCTCCGGCCAATGAGAGTGAGTGTCATTCGTGGAAGCTTTTGGCTTTTAAAGTTGTGATTTTTTTTTTCCTTCTTTTTAAACTTATTTTTTTATTGTGGTAAAATGCATATAACATAAACTTTACCATCTCAGCCATTTTTAGGTGTGCAGTTCAGTGGTGTTAAGTGCATTCACGTCATGCAGCCATCACCACCGTCTGTCTCCAGAACACTTTTCTTCTTGCAAAACTGAAACTTTGTCCCGTAATTCCCCATCTCCCTCCCCCAGCCCCTGGCAGCTACCATGCTACTGTCTGTCCCCATGGATTTGACTACTCTAGGAACCTCATAGAAGCGAAATCATACAGAATTTGTTAAAGTAAGCTTGTTTAACCCCTGTATCTTTATTTTGTATACAAGTTTTTAGTTTTTAATAGAGACATTAAAGGTGGATTCAGCTCTGGTCTGCATTTGCCAGGAGAGAATGGAGCTTTTCAGATTCCACTTAATCCTAGAGAATAATTTACCTGGTAGGCTCTGTTAGGTGTGTTCTCTGGGTGTGGTCTTGTAAGAAAGGAATGTTTTTCCTTAAGTGAAAAGGATTTAGTCCTTTGTAGGATTTCATTTCCTCTTACCCTTGTTCAGAAGTTATTTTTTTAGTGAACAATCTGTCCCCAGTAGTAATGGAGCAGTTGAGTAACATGGCTTGTCCACTTGATAGACTACCATGTAACCATCACAGATGATATCAGAAACTATTTGCTAGCTTAGGCAGACCTTCCTAGTGAAAGAGCAGAGTAAACAGGCATCTACTGAATTAAGAAAAACCTTTTTAAAACCTGTACGTGGGGAAAAAAAGATAATGTACCAAGATGTCTGCAGTGGTTACGTTGTGAATGATAGGACTCTTTTTTGTTCTTCTAGACCTACAATGACTGTGTGTGTTGAATGAAGTGAATGTCAAAGCAATTTTTGACTTTCCTTTATAAGAGATTTTAATAAAAAGTGTATTATAATACCTTACCCAAGTCGTAGGATAGGCTGGCCTGTGACTCACCAGAGTTCTCCAGAATGATGAAGAAAGACTTTTCTAGAAGGAATGTGGATGAATTCGCTCAAGCGGAGAGGGCAGTCATTGTAACTAGCAGTGTGATTACCGGCCCGCTGTGTCGAGTCTGTGCCGTGTGCACGGGATACCCCTGTGGGTTTCCCTCAGCAGACTAATAACTTGTGAACTCTATCAGATAACAATCTAAAGACCTTAACTTTTAGCCTAATTTCTTCTGTTGAGAAGAAAACCAGTTGTGTATGTATTAAGAAACAGCAGCAGGTTTCTTTGCCACGAATCTGTTTCTTTGAATAAACGTGGTATACACCTGAAACTATATTTTAATACAAATCTTCTTTAAAAGAATCCATTCGGAAAACAATAGCAAAGAAAAAAATCGTATGAACACTTCCATTTACCTTTGAGAACGTGTTCTTTCATGAAACCTGCTGAATGTACTTGGGATAGATTTACTGGAAATAATCCAACTCAAATACCCTGGGCTGTCTGAAACTATAAAATAACTACTTTTCGGATATATAAGTGAGAAATGCTACGGGTTTCAGAGGTGGCTGGACTGTGTCTGTTAACTTCAGAGGAGCAGTGTTTCTAGTGAGGCAGATGAGAAAACTTGCTAAAATAGCAGAACCTGATAAAAACGTGTGTCTGGATTGGGGGGGGAGAGTAAGTATAAAGTCCGTCTTTCGGACAATAGAGAAACGAGGTTTTCCTGCGTGCTGTGCAACCAGATCTGATGCTTCAGTCTTTCCGTTTGCCCCCAGAGGCCAAAACTGCGCAGGGCGAGGGTCCCCTGGCCCTGGACGGACCCCGGCAGGCTTCGGAGGGCACGCAGCCCCCCTCTGGACACCCCTCCCCTGCCACGAGCCAGGGCACCGCAAGCAAGTGTCCTTTCCTGGCAGCCCAGATGAGCCAGGGGGGCAGCAGCGTCTTCCGCAGAGCCAGCCTGGAGCTCCAGGAGGATGTGCAGGAGATGCACGCCGTGAGGAGAGGTAAACAGCGGCACGGGCCGGGGGCGCGCGTGACGACGTCCTCGCGGTCCTCTGGACCCTTAGATTTGTGCACAGCCGTTACTCGGGTGGCCTTTGTGTGAACGCCTTCCTCCTCTAGAGCCAATGAGGAAGGTCACTGAATAGTCAGCACCTGTTGCACAATGTGGGACTTTTCTGGTGTGTGGGAGGTGTCCAGCTCTTACAGTAACTGCTTCATTTCTGAAAACACCCTGTGGGCTTAAACTGTTCGCAGCTCCCCTGTGGTTCTTTCCCAGCATCTGTTGGGATAAAAGAGAAAGTGTGACTGCAGCAGGCGATGGTCTGGGGACTCCCAGGCTGAGTGTCTCACCGATGGTTATTGAGTGGCCGCTCTAATCCCCATTGTGGCTGTGTCCATGGAGCACCCACGGTCCCTGAAAACAGCCCTCGCAGAGAGGACGTGTTTGTTTTCTGTGAAGAAAACTGAGATTAGGGTCGGGGTGGTAGGGCGCGGAAGGCATGCCAGCCAGCCAGCTGGACAGCTTTGGACTCGAATGTTCACGAAAGCTGCGCAGCAGCTCTGACTCTGGCCATTACAGTGACTGAAAGGGAGGACGACAAGCTTCATGCACTCAGTGACAACTCACTTGGGTCACGATCGGCTTTTTGTGTCAGCCGTTTGTGACAGCGTGTCTGGAAGGTGCTGTGGACTGCAGACAGACTGTCGGCCCCTTTGCCTCCTGCCACTTTGATTGCAGAGGTCACCCAGAGCGCGGCGTGCCCCGCGGTGGCTAGCGTGAAGGCCGACGGAGGGGAGCCAGGCGGACTGCTGAAGAGCTTCCAGGACATCGTGCGGAAGCAGAGGCCGGAAAGAGTGTGCATTTGTGCCATTTGATCCCACACCAGGAAACTGACATTTTCTTAAATGTGCCTCGGAATTCTAAAATTGCTCTAAAACTCTTCTAGGATAATACCTTGTGTTACATAACTCTTTCCTTTGGCTAAAACTTTAATTGCCAAAATGTACGTCCCGTTGTTACTTGCCTGATGCAGGAGAGAGGTTATAACTTAAACGTACATCAGGTTAAACGTAAACTCGCACCGAGGCATGGATTGAAGGCCATGTCCCTTCCTGATGCCAGCAGGTGTTCTGGGCCGTCGTAAATGCAGCGCCTGCTGGTACCCTGCCTTCTCTCAGCACCTACCGTCCCCACACGGGGCCTGTGCTAAACCCTTGACATGCACAGTCTCAAGATGAGGACCTGCAGTAACTTGCCCAGATCAAGGTCTCATTAATTTGCCCAGAATCTCCCGCTGCTAAGCAACCGGGCTGGGGTGGGGACCCAGGTGTTTCGCCGAAGCCCAGATGTGCTGCTTAACCAGCAGACTGTCACGTCTTTTGTTTGGTTTTTAGCCGTTTCCACTTTTCAGTATGATCATTTCTTTGAGAAGAAAATTGATGAGAAAAAAAATGACCATACCTATCGAGTTTTCAAAACTGTGAACCGGAGGGCCCACCTCTTCCCCATGGCGGACGACTACTCCGACTCTCTCATCACCAAGAAGCAGGTGTCAGTCTGGTGCAGCAATGACTACCTGGGAATGAGTCGCCACCCCCGGGTGTGTGGGGCCGTCATGTGAGTAGCCCTGCACTTCCACGCACCAGTGACGCGACGCGGGGGACGCATGGATGGCTCACAGGGCTGCATCTCCTACGGGGGGTACTCAGCAGCGAGAGTGCGCCGTGCGAATTACGGTTCTTCGCTTTTAGATGTAGCCGCAGGTGACTTTTAGAGAAACGAACGTACACGTCGTCGGTGGAGCCTCTTTATGTGTGAGGGTTCGCGTTTCTGGGTTCCCTGACCACCTGTCTGTCCACTTCCCGCCACGCCACAGTGAGCGTGGCGGGTGACGCCAGGCAGCTTTGCTATGGCTGCGGCTGGAGAGAGACAAATCCAGCAGCACTGGAGACAAAGCTGCTTCAAAAAGACATTCAAAAGGATGGTAGACTTCATTACTCATGTCCCTCAGGACATGGCTGGGACACTTGGGGGAGTTGCTTGCCAAAGTCTCCAGGGAAGCTGATGAAGAGGGCCCCTCTGAGGTGTAACAGATACGGCCTGATGTTAAGTGACTGGTTCGCAAGCTGTCCCACAAGAGAGTGATGTCTTGTTGTTGGAGAGAGTGGGGCGTGTCAGAGAAAGAAACCTTCTTAAGATAACTCAGCTAATACTGAGCACCCAGGTGAGGTCGCTCCTGGCGATGCCTCGGACTGTTACGACTCTATGTCACGACCTTCTCCCGTCTAGTCTGAAGCTGAAGTCGGTTGAAGCCACTGGCCCCAGGCTTCACAGTGAGATGTCCTGGATCAGCAGAGGCTTCCATGTCCTGGGTCCTCAGGGAGGGACGGCTCACGTAGCGTTCACACCACGAGACTTATTTTCTGCCTTTTTTTTTTTTTAAGGGACACTTTGAGGCAGCATGGTGCTGGAGCAGGTGGGACCAGAAATATTTCTGGGACTAGTAAATTCCACGTGGACCTGGAGCGGGAGCTGGCCGACCTCCACGGGAAAGACGCCGCGCTCCTGTTCTCCTCGTGCTTCGTGGCCAACGACTCGACCCTCTTCACTCTGGCGAAGATGATGCCGGGTGAGGGCCTGAGAGCTTTGGGGTTCCTTGGTGCTGCAGCAGTTCCCTGTTTCCCGCTTTCTGTGGTTTCAGTTACCAAAGGTCAGCTGTGGTCCAAAAATACTAAATGGAAAATTCCAGAAATTGTTAGTTTTAAATGGCATACCACATTGAGTAGGGCGATGGACTCTGTCCTGTCCCGGGACTTGACCCATCTCTCTGTCCAGCGTATCCACGCGCCCCACCCGTTAGTCACTCATTAGCCATCTGGGTCATCAGATCAGCTGTCACGGTATCTCGGTGCTTGTGTTCGAGTCACCCTTCGTTTACTTAACGATGGCCCGAAGCACAAGAGTGGAGATGCTGACAGTCCAGGTATGCCGAGGAGAAGCTGCACAGGGCTTCCATTAAATGAAAAGATGAACATTCTTGACCTAAAAACAAATGTACACCGAGGTGTCTGAGACCTCTGATAAGAACCGATCTATCTGTAAAATTGCCTGATTTGTAAACTTTATCACAGGTAGCTATGTGTAGGAGAAACATTTATACAGGTTTTGGTACTGTCCACGGTTTCAGGCATCCAGTGAGGGTCTTGGAGCGTGTCCGTGGCAGATAACGGGGGGATTACTGTAACGAGAATATCAGTGACAAGGCTTACCAGAAACGCTCAGAAGCAGTGCAGCCATCTGGGAACGCTCGTTCCTGAATTGAGCGTGAGTGCCGCCCGCTCATTACAAGCTCCAGAGAAAGTGGCGCCAGTGCTGAATCTGCGTCGAAGGGCTTGTCCTTAGCTGATTGCTTCAGATGTTTGAATGCTAAGAAAACTGTGGAAAATTCTCTTAATCATTTGTAGTTATCTTGTGATGGAGTTGGGCGTGAGGCAGCCAGATTTAAAAGCAGATTGATTGCCGGCTGCAGCGTTATTCTACGCCAGGGGCCCTCTCAAAGGAGCAGCCCTAGTTATTTTGCCAGGAAGAAACTGGCACGTGGCGTCAAGGAACTACTGGGCAAAGGGGGCATTTGGAGCCAAGTCTGTTGTCCCTGACTGTCTGGGAAATAGTTTGTCTTTGGTGCACATGGCCATAAATAACACTTCTGTGTGCTAGGCTGTGAGATCTACTCCGATTCTGGGAACCACGCCTCCATGATCCAGGGGATTCGGAACAGCCGCGTGCCGAAGTTTGTCTTCCGCCACAACGATGCCGGCCACCTCAGGGAGCTGCTGCAGAGGTCGAGCCCTGCGGTCCCCAAGATCGTAGCGTTCGAGACTGTCCACTCCATGGACGGTGAGTCTGAAGAGCGGCCAGTTTGAAACTTTAAACGAAAAACTGGGCTGCAGCTCTTTAAAAGTGCGTTTTATTTTGTTTCTGCAATTTCTTTTAACCTTCCGCCAGGATTTTGTAATTGTTGGACGTTGTGTAGATTTGGGAAAATGTAGATTTCCTACTCTGGCTTTTACTAGGCTCTGAGACCCCAGGATAACCCAGAAACTGAAGGAAGGTCACTTTTCCCCCAGTAATAAAAATAATACCCTAGAATGTAAGTCATTTTGTTCTGACGTTGACCAAAACAAATCTCTGCAGTGTCAGGCACTTAGCGTGGTCTGTGGTCTTTCCTTAGGGGCCGTGTGCCCGCTGGAAGAGCTGTGCGATGTGGCCCACGAGTTCGGAGCGATCACCTTCGTGGATGAGGTCCACGCGGTGGGGCTGTACGGGGCCCGAGGCGGAGGGATTGGCGATCGGGACGGAGTCATGGCAAAAATGGACATCATTTCTGGAACGCTCGGTATGTAGACTCTGCACATTCTGTAATCTTCACCTAAATCGTGTTGTCCTAACAAGGCCAAGGACTAAGTGGCCTAACCGGGAGCAGGTGAGGCGCGTGTAAAGCCCAGGCCACTTTTGGGGTGAGTCTGTATTTCTCAGTGAGTGGTGGCACAGCTCAGAATCCCTCGAATCGAAGTAAAAGTTAGCCTGACACGTAGAAACACCACGTGCTGGCATCTGAGCTCCTTCAGACATAGCCGTGGCTCTAGCTCCGTGCACTGGCATCGGCCTTCCCTCTCTGCGCCTCAGGTTGTCCCCCTGTATCCAGAACAGGGGTTCCAGTGCTGGACCCCCAGCGCGGCAGGCAGGGCCTGCTGGTTCAGGCGCTGTGACGCGCCGAGCTCTGTGCCTGCCCGTGGGAGCCGGACTCAGGAGCCACGGCGCCTGCGGGGCGTGGGTGCTGCCTGCATGGCTCGCTGGCTGAGCAACCTTGGCCGCTACTCAGCCAGTCTGCCCTCAGCGTCTTAATCAGTGTAACAGCGATAACAATAGGACCTACCTCGGGCTTTGTGGAGAAGGTAAACTTTTCTTTGCTCGTGAGACACTAAAGAGATAAAAATGTAAGTTGTGCAAAATTGAGGATTTCAATTAGTAAGGCAGCGGGCGAGCCACGTAGCAGTTACTAAAATGCCAGCCGCAGCCTGCACTTGGTAAAGGCAGGGCAGGCCGAAAAGGGCGTCCTCCAGCTCTGTTGAACGTTGGACCAGTGCAGTGGGCAGCTGGGGCTCCCGGGTTGGAGCCCTCCTGGGGGCATCGTCACTGAGGGAGAAGGAGCTGGAGGAATTTTCCACTGTAAGAGCTTATACCAACCCAGCCCTGCATGGGGCTTCAACAAGAATATTAGTTACAGACAAAATGTTAAGATTTTGGAGGACTCTTCTAGATCCACTAATCCTGAAACTTGAGATACTGATTATATAAAGGGACTTAAGAGAATTGGAAAATGAGCCTGGCCCTAAATCAACCCTAACAGGTTTTGTATTTATCTGGCAAATGCTGATTATCAGAGCGTTGTGTTCACAGAGTGTTAGGTTATGGTGCTTACAATAGGAAATAACACCGGTCACAGCAGGAAGGTGCGATGTCTTAGCTGAGTGACATTCCAGCTTCCAGAGGCATGCTCAGGGTGCAGGGACAGTTCGGGCAGCACACCCAGCCCGTCCCAGAGAGCACACAGTGGAGGGCGTGGGAGCGGTGCCGGGCCCGCTGGCACGTGGCAGCCTGGGCGGGAATGGCAGCTGGGACGAGAGGTCCTGAGATCCATGAACACCGGGACAGGTCACTCGGGTGTCCGTAGACCTACGTTTTGGTCTTGGCCAGACATCAACTTGGCCATGTGGTGTTGGGCAAGACCCTCTGGCAAGCTTCCTCCGTGCGTTCCCGTTTCCGAGGTGTGCGGCATCGCTCCCCGCAGCCCCGGCAGCCCCGGCCGCGGAGAGCAGGCGCTCTGCGTCGCCCCCACCTCGGCACCTCACTGCGCGCAGTGGGGCTGCTGCGGCAGTAAGCGCCGTCTCCTCGCAGGCAAAGCCTTCGGCTGTGTCGGAGGCTACATCGCCAGCACCCGCTCCCTGGTGGACACGGTGCGGTCGTACGCAGCCGGCTTCATCTTCACCACGTCCCTGCCGCCCATGCTGCTGGCCGGGGCCCTGGAGTCCGTGCGGGTGCTGAAGAGTGCCGAGGGCCGGGCACTGCGCCGCCAGCACCAGCGCAACGTCAAGCTCCTGCGGCAGATGCTCATGGACGCCGGCCTCCCGGTCGTGCACTGCCCCAGCCACATCATCCCGGTCCGGGTGAGGGCTTGCGGGGGTCCCGGCCGGGGGCTGCACACACACGCGCTGTGAGGTGTCCCGCTTCACAGACTTCAGGCCTGAAGTCGGGCGGGCGGGAGCCCGCGGCCCTGCTGTGTGTCCACCTTTGGCCGGCTTCACAGTGAGTGAAGCCTTTGAACGGCGCGGGCGGGGCGGAGTTCCCGCTCCAGCGCGCCACCTCAACGGGGAACACGGAGCTCGTGTCTGGAAAACTCCGGAAGCCTGAGCTGAGCTAGCTTTCAAGTGTGGCTTCCTATTCGGTTGATTTTGAAATAGGTCTTGCCTTTTCTTCTGCACATGATGACCCTGTCGGTGTCACCGTTGCACTAGTGTAATAAAGGTAGTGTCACCAAAGCTGCCTTTGTCCCCGGGGTAGACACATACCTGGCTTTGAGGACCATGTGGTGTCAGCTGCGGTCTCAGAACCGTGCTCTGCCCACGCGAGCCTTGGGGGGAGGAAGCCACCAACATCCCCCACGCTGGCGCGTGCTGCTCCAGCCTGAGCCTCACGGCCACTGTGTGTGTCAGACTCTCCGCAGGAGGTAGCCCATCCCGTTCTGAGCTTACCTTCTGTTGTCACCAAACTCAGGTCGCGGATGCTGCTAAAAACACCAAAGTCTGTGACGAGCTAATGAGCAGACATAACATCTACGTCCAGGCCATCAATCACCCCACGGTGCCCCGGGGGGAGGAGCTCCTGCGCATCGCCCCCACCCCGCACCACACGCCCCAGATGATGAGCTACTTCCTGGGTGAGTGCCCGCCGCCCCCACACCGGGGATTCGGGAGGAGCCGTCCTCGTGGTGTTTATACGTGAATTCAGGGCCATTGGAGTTTGCCTTTTTCTTCTCCAAGCACCTGAGAATGTTCTCAGATGGTACAAAACTCCCAAAGACATTCAGTTCGATCCGCTGCCGGAGGGTGCAGAGTCATTTTGGGAGCCCGGAGGGGCCCTGCTCACCCGCCCAGGGCTGTTGGTGAGGCCGTCGCAGGCCAGGAGAGCCAGGCCCCCAAAGCTGGGTGTCTGCCCTGGCCTCCAGGGTGGCCCTGACCCAGCCCCGCACCTAACCCCTTCTGACGAGAGTGGGGGTCGTACAGGCTGCTTCGGATGGAGTGCAGTTTAAAACTATGAATGGTTGATTTTTGGAATTTTCCACTTAAGACTTTCAGGCCATGGTTGACTAGGTAACTGACAGCATGGAAGGTAACACCGTGGATGAGAGGATGCTGAGCGTGACGTGTGGCTGTCCCCACTGTCTGATTGTAGGACGTGTTGTCACCCCCAAAGAGAACACCCATGGCCATCAGCAGCCACTCCCGTCTTCCCTTCCCCGCCCCCTGGCGCCCGCAGTCCACTCCGTCTCTGGGGATTCGCTGTACTTCACATTCCCCGCGGGAGCCGCGCAGCCTGCGCTCTTCTGTGCCCCGCTGTCCTCACAGCGGCGTCCTCGGGGCGCAGCCTGCCGTCACGTGATCAGCACTCATTTCTGTGTCACCAGCCGATGGCCCACATTTGTTTGTTCATCAACGGATGGGCGATTAGCTTGCTTGCCCTTTTTGACTGTTACTGGCCCTGCTGCGAACATCCACGTTCAGGCCTTTGGGTGGACGCGCATTTCCTTTTCTCTGGGGCATACGTTACTTTTAATTTTTAAAAACTGTCTGTCCTCAGAGAACCTGCTGGCCACGTGGAAGCGAGTGGGGCTGGAGCTGAAGCCGCACTCGTCGGCCGAGTGCAACTTCTGCCGGAGGCCGCTGCATTTTGAAGTGATGAGCGAGCGGGAGAGATCCTTCTTCTCCGGCATGAGCAGGCTGGTGTCCGCTCAGGCCTGAGCGCCGCGACCTCGGTTACTGTGCCTGACCCGAGGCCACGTCGTCTGCGGTTTCCAGAACTGTCTATGTACAAATTAAATTAAATTAAATTTTAACCTATAGTGACCGTGTAGTCCTAAAATAAATTCTGTGTAAAGTGACGGGTCCTCCTGTTATTGGCTTTTGAATCAAAAAATCATTTTTCTTCATCCCTTTAAGTTTGGTCCGTACTGCCAAGATGCATAAAACGTCCGATCGGACCCTGCTGGAATGGAGGGCCTCCCCCTGCTCAAACCCAACTCAAGCCCGCCGCATCTGGGGGCTCCCTCGGCTGTACCCCAGCACCTCAGTCCTGACAGAAGTCCCAGCACGGTGGCAACCAGTGTCACTTTAAATATCTCACTCTGTCTTCCGCCTGCTTCCCACTCCGTCTTCCGCGACCGCCGTGACCTCACCCTTCCTGTGACAGTCTGGCAGGCGGGAGAGGACCAGCTTGTCACCGCCACCAAGTCCTCAGCCGTCTGCCTCCTGCCCCAGTAACCGCGTCCCCTTCAGCTTGTGCTCCTCACTCTGCCACCTTCCCCTCGCGTCCCCATACCTCTGACCATCTCTTCTCTGTCACGAGTTTTGACCCCTCCTGCTCACCCCCGCTGGCCTGCAGCAAAACTTCGTCACCTATCTTAAACTGACCAAGCTTCAAGTGTCCTTCAACAGATGATTGGATAAAGGGGATGTACAGATACACACTGGAACGTGAGCCCTAAAAAAGGGTGAAATACTGCCATTTGCAACAACATGGACGGATCTCGAGAGTATCGTGCTAAACGAAATAAGACAGAAAAAGGCAAGAACCATGATTTCGCTCATGTGGGACATAAAGCAACAAAAGAAAACTCAAAGACAGCCGTATGCTGGTCACCAGAGGGAAAGTGGAGATGGGGGAGGGGAAAGGGGAAAGGTCAAATACAGGGCGACAGAAGGAGCCTAGACTTTGGGTGGAAAACACAGTGTCACGTACAGACGTATTATAAAGTTGTACACCTGAAATTTATATAGTGTTATTAACCAATATTACTCCAATAAATTAAACAACCAGGCTCTCCCTCAGCCCCCTTCGAGCTGCTATTCTGCCTCTTCTGCCGGCCTTTGGTCCCTGTCCCCTCTGGAGCCACTCTTTTTTCTATGTCTTGATGTCTGTGGCCGGTTCTGGTTTTCTGCCATCAAACACACACCTTGAGCCACATGGGTCCCATCGGATAAAGCCGCACGCGCAGGCAGGCCAGCAGGCATGATGGAAATTACATCACTTCAGACACACTGCGTGTTCCTTTCTGCTCAGGAAGCAGGCCTCGCCCACTCTCCCGGCTCCGT